GGCAAAGCTATGTGACATCTCCAGATAGGACATCTATCACAAGCTGGGACCTTTTGGGGACTTTCTAAGTGCTCCTGAGACACAGGACCCGACCTTCAGCATTAGCCTTCCCTGGACCTCGAATGGCCTGCCCGCCCTTCAGGCCTTCGGCTTGCCCAGCCTCCACCATGACCTCAGCCAATTCTTCAACATCAACTAGTCCCCACTGGTGGATGGAAGGATGATTGATACATAGAAAGTGTTGTGGTTTGGATGTGAGGTGTCCCCAGACGCTCATGTGTGAGACCATGCAAGAAGGTCCAGAGGGGAAGTGATTGGGTTGTGAGCGTCTTACCCCATCAGTGAGTTAATCCCCTGATAGGGATTCACTGAGCGGCCACTGACGCAGTGGGTTGTGGCTGGAGGAGGTGGGACTGGGGGCATGGCTCTGGGGTAGATATTTGTATCTGGAGAGTCGGGGGAGTCTCTCCCTCTGCTTCCCGATCACCATGTGAGCTGCTTCCCTCTGCCACACTCTTCCACCGCGTTGATCTGCCTCCCTGGAAACCGGAGCAATGAAGCTGGCTGTCAGTGAGCCCTCCCACTTGTCCCATCTGCAGTTGTTCTGGTCCTGTCTTCAATCGCAGCAGTGAAAAGCAGACAGAGAGAGACATAAAGTATATGTACAAACACAGGTGCATTCCCACACATATATACACGACACACACAGCCCCTTAATGTCCCATCCCCTTGTCTGTGAAGTGCAGATGGGACAGCATCGGACCTGCCTCAAATGGTTTTAACTAGTGTCACCCTGGTTGAGGTAGCTAACACCCTAACAAAAGCACCAGGCACCCAGCCCCTGCTGGGTACCTGCATTAGCTAGAACTCATTTCTAGATTCCAGAAATGTGCATGATGGGGTGTGGCAGATGGGCAGAAAAGTCCCACCAATGTCACATGTTGCCGAATGTCAACCTTTAGAGCCTCTCTCTGCTCTGCGTGAGTGCAGGACTAGGAGGTGATCGGCACCACGCCTGCCATCAGGAAACCCCAAATCTGATACAGAAATCAGCAGGTAAACCCTGGTGAGGCTCTATGGGGAGTATACACATGTGTCACCAGGTGGGAAAATCACAGTCCCCAGTGAATAACTTCAAATAATAACGTATTTGTCTATCAGTTTTCTATTGCTGGCTCACAAATTGAAGGCCTGAACAGCACCCACTTATGGAAGTCAGACATCTGGGAAGAATCAGCAGAGTTCTTGGCTTTGGCTCTCCTAAGGCCAGAATCACACTCTGAGCCGACCCAGGTTGGTACTGGGGAGCTCTGTGAAAAACCTGCCGCAGGCCCCTTGCAACCAGAGGTAGAGCCCAGTTCCCCACAGCTGCCAGTCAGGCTTCCCTCTCCTCCCTGGCTGTGTACCAGGACCACTGCCCTCCTGAAGGTGTCCCCCTCTCTACCGCCTCCCCCACACACACACATTCAAGCCAAAAATGGAAGGCTGAACCTGGATTCTCTCTGACTCCCGAACTTCCTCCTGTCGGCCTGCAGAGACCTGTTCTTAAAGGGCTCTTGTAGTGGATTAGAAGCTGGTGATCTCTTTTGAGGAACCAGAAGTCAATGGATTAACAACCTTTACCACGACTGCAGGGTCCCTTTCGCTGCATGACTAACCCAACCGCATGAGGCATACCACACCCTATTCACAGGGTCCCCCCACATTCAAGGGGAGGGACATTACATGCCCTTGGTAGAAGTTGCCCACATGGTCAGGATAGGCTAGGCAAAGCTGCAGTGACAGAAAGCCCTTAGTGCACACCACCTGTTAGCTGGGCATTGCTCTGGGTCATCTCTACATCTGCACGAGGCTGATACGTGGGGGTCAGGTGGCAGAGAGAGGGACACGACATGGCAGAGTGCATGGCAAAGCACACACAGGCCCTCACAGCTTCTGCCTGTGGTAAATCCCAACATTCCTTTCCCATTCCTTTCCCTTGGTCAAGGGGCCACAGATGCTCAGTCCTGACCTGGGTCTAGGAGAAAGGAGGCTAGCCATGTCTGGTGACCAGCACTAATGACTGGCAAATGAGAATCCTCCAAAATGGAGCAGCCCCTAGGAGAGCCAGCTCCTCCCAGCTCTGCAGGGTGCTGTACTGATTGGACTCTTCATTTGCAAGAGACAGAAAGAAACTCCCAGAAACCAGCTCAGGCCAAAGAAGTCAGTTCTGTAGCCATCAACTCAGTGGCTGGAAATGGCCCGGACAGTTGGCAGAGTCGCAGGACTCAGAGACTCTGGAACGTGAGCCAGGGCGCAGCCCCATGCTGGTCCTCCTCCGCCTTCCATCTCTGAGCTCTGCTTCTGTGTTCCCGGCCTTGCCCACTCCTCCTGCAGACAGGCCTGTGGCCACCACTGCACAGTCTCCTCAGTGAGCAGATGACCATCCTCCTGTGCTCGTGTTAGCCCCAGGGAAGACTCTGGCCTGCCCGTCTGGTTCATATGCTCACCACCTCCACAGCAGGAGGCCAGAAATGGTCCAAGATGAGGTTGAGGAGCAGGTCTCTAGCCAGAAGGAAAAAAGAAAGAGGGAAAGGGGGGGCACGCAGCCCCGAGGGGCAGGCCAGCAGTCTCATGTTTGTCTTGACAAAAACAGTTTCCAAAAAATGTCGTAATCCCTGCACATCTACAGAAGCCAAGTGACGTCACCATCAGCTCAGTCGCAGGTGACAAAGGGAGCTCCTCCGAGCTGTAGCACCCTAGGCCTGGGGTCTTTCTTCCAAGCCCAGCTGGGACCTTCTTGGAGAGCTTCTGCTGGGTCCTTCCTGCGTGAACAGGCTCAAGGGAACTGTTTGGGACAGAGCTCCTGCTGTATGCACATTCTCTGAAAGCTGGATTCCATGTGGGGGCTTATGGGGGGGCTCGCTTCTAAAACACGGGGCTCTTTGCTTTTTTAATTAATTTTTAAATTTATATATGACAGCGGAATGCATTACAATTCTTATTACACATATAGAGCACGATTTTTCATATCTCCAGTTGTATACATAGTATATTCACACCAATTCCTGTCTCCATACATGTACTTTGGATAATAATGTCCATCTCATTCCACCATCATTTCTAGCCCCATGCCCCCTCCCTTCCCCTCCCACCCCTCTGCCCTATCTACAGTTCATCTATTCCTCCCATGCTCCCCCTCTACCCCACTATGAATCAGCCTCCTTGTATCAGAGGAAAACATTCGGCATTTGGTTTTTGGGGATTGGCTAACTTCACTTAGCATGATCTTTTCTAACTCTATCCATTTACCTGCAAATGCATTTTATTCTCTTTTATTGCTGAGTAAAATTCCATTGTGTATATAGGCCACATTTGTTAAAATCATGGGGCTCTCTTCATAATCCCTGCCCTAAGCAAAGCCCAGCCTTGGTGTTTGCCTTTTCTCCTTCACTCCTGCACGGGCTGGGCCAGCTTTCCATGTGGGTTTGCCAAGAGCCAAAGCGAAAGCTCAAAAACATGTCCCACAAACACGGGGGAAGTACAGCTTCTACGAAGGATGCGAGGTCAGCAGAAGCCCCAGAGGCAGCGCCTGGCTGAGTGCTCACCCTCTCCCCGCCCAACACTCCTGGCTGTCACTGCCGGGTCAGCTGCCATGGGCTCTTGGCCTCTGACCTCAACTGCTTGCAGAAATGGGGAGCCACCGAGGGGCCTCTGCCCCCCAGGTGGACTCCAGCCCAGCTCTGGCATCAGACCCAGGCTGTATGATCTAGTGCACTGTTTTCTGCAGAAATTAGGCTGCTGCGGGGCTCCTGCCTCCACTGGCAGCTAGCGGCTTGGGTTGGGCGACAGGAGAACTGGCATTGGCTACATCCATTTCAACCTCAGATGCCTCATGAAGGCCACAGGGTAGGAACACTAGGGGCACACAGGAAAGGGGCTGCTCTGTGTTTCAGCCAAGGTGCATGGGCCAGAGCAAACAGCCTGTTCCTGTTTCTTACGGCCCCTGGGGCTGAGTGTCTCCCTGGCCTCCATAGCGCTTACAAACATTCTGCTCTGAACAGCCAGAGGGAAAAGGCCAACCGCTCTTGCTCTGTAAATCCTGAAAAGAGTTCCAGGTCCTGAAAACACAAGGTCACAGACAGAAAACACAAGGACACTGTCTCAGTCTTTTTTCTGCTGCCATAACAGAATACTTGAGGCTGGGGAATTTATAAACTATAGGAGAGTACTTAGTGCATGGTTCTGGAGGCTGAGAAGTCTACCAGCCTTGGTGCTGGCATCTAATGAGGTGGAAGGTTGAAGGGCAAGCACACACAAGTCAGAGGGGACGAGAGGCTGTGCACTTACACTCCCAACATAACCACCCAGTTCCTCAATGATTCATTCACAAGAACAGAGCCCTTACGACCTAACCCCCTCTCCAAGTCCCGCCTCTGAATACTGTTACAATGGCAATTAGTGTCTGAGAGGGAACCTTCGAACCACTTCAGAAGTTAAGCTGTGACAACTGAAATTCAGTATCTGCCAAAATGGTGTTCTCTTCCTGTGCAAGTCTCAACTAAAGAAAGCCTCAAAGGGAGGGAATTGTGGATGCTTAGAGAGGTGTTGGCCATGGACATGGGGTCCTGTTCATAATGCACTGCTTTAGAGTGAGATGAGGGCAGTGGACATTGTGGTGACCTCTGGACGGCAGCCTTAGCAGGAGTGAGCTCCACATCCAAGGAGGTATACAAGCAGATTCTGGATAAGCACTTAACAGGAAGCCTATAAAGAAAGCATAAGCATCAGACAGGTTGTTTTAGATGATTTCTAAAGTTCTACTTCATAAGTGTATTTTCTGTTACTATAACAAAATACCTGAGGCTGGGCATATAAAGAAAAGAGATTTACTTAACTGTCAATTTTGGAGACTGAAAGTACAAGACCAGTAGTTTTATTGGCTCAACTTCTGGGGAGGGCCCTTGGGCCATGTCACAATGTGAAAGATGTCATCACAATGGCTTTTGAGATAGAGATCACCTGGCAAGAAAGCCAGCCAGAGAGAGACTGTGACTCCTTGGGCCCCAACACGTCACCATGTCCCAGTGAGAACCTGGGGGCCTCTCACGCGTTCTACCTACAGGTGCCAGGATACAGAGGCCCCCTGCAGCGCTGAGCTCAGGAGCCCCAGCCACACCCATGCCACGTCCTGGTGGGGAACAGGTCCGTCTCCCAGCCACTCATCTGACTCAGCCTCGCTGTCCTGGAGGCAAGGGGGCAGGACTTTTCCTTCCCTGGCCTGAACTCGAGGCTCTGATGAAAGGCCCCTGGAGCCTCTCAAAGCAGACCTAGAGTCCAGGCTGGGGCCAGGGAGTGACCAGGGAGGCACAGGCCCTGGGCCCAGTGCAGAGAGGAGCGAGGTGCAGACTCCATGCGGAGGCAAGAGGTGCAGACTCCATGCGGAGGCAAGAGGCCTGGCGGGGCGGCCTCCTGGGGCTCGGTGGCCTCCTGGGACAGGCGGCCTCCTGGCACTCCTTGCCGCCGCCTGCGGGGCTGCCCGACCCGGGCTCCTAACGGAGTCTGGAGCACACGCTGCTGCGCACAGAGCAGGAAGGCCCAGCTCGCCATCCCTGCGCAGGGCCTTGAACCTTGAAAACTGGTAAACACGGGGGTGATGGAGGACCAGGGTCACGGCCAGCAGGGCCAGCTGCTGACCACGGGTCGGGAGGCTTTCTCCAGGTGGGAGAGGCGGGGTGGGTGCCTTCCCTGCCTGACCCCTGGCTCCCGCTCCCTGGGCTCTTGTCTTCGGCTGTGTTCCTCTGGGACCCTGCAGCCCCCTGGTCCCCCTTGTGCCCTGCCTCTGGAGGGGGCACAGGGCAGGCCTGCCCAGACCTGGGTCCAGGGCCCGCCACTCGCACCATCCACTGTTCAGGTTTGCGCTGGGCTCACGGCATCTGCACTGGCAGCGGCTCGCGGGCTGCGGGAGCACGGGCACCGCTCAGGTGCCATCAGCCTTGCCCTCCTGGCAGCCCCTGTCCCTGGCCTGCCCCTGGTGTCGGCAGCCCAAGGACCCAACTCATCTCTGACTGCAAGACTCGTGCTGCTCAGGACTCCATCCTGAGGGCAGCAGGACAGGAGGAGGACAGGGCGGGCACCCCACCTGGGTGCTTGGCCTCCAGCTCTGTGACCCCCATGGGACTCTGGAGCTCTCTGAGGCCCGGTTTCCTCCTGGAGAGAGGGACTACTCTCTGTGGCCTGTGCCTGGCAGGGACCTCACAGGACTGAGTGGAGACAGCGATGTGAGCTCAGACCTTGTGGAAACTCACAGCACGCGGGCGTGAGCTCTGCCCTGGTCACACGGCACCTCCCTGGCTCCACAGGTGTCCCCAGAGCTCCCACTCCACGGCGCACAGGAAAGGAGGGAGACTTAGGAACCTGGCCTCAGTCACGCCAGAGGGCACGGCCCTGCTTTGCCTGGGCATCTAGGTGGGAGCTCACTCCTGGAGCCGGGCTGCTTCCGCCCTGACAGACAGGCTCAAGTGGACAGCCCGCCCTTCCTGCATCCCCCTGGGCCCAAGCTGGGGGCTCAGGGAGGCTCACACAGCCAAGGCCACCTGTGCAGTGTCAGCCCAGCCTCCAGGCTACAAGACGGCACAGCTGCTCAGGAGGCAGGTGACCACCCACCCAAGGGTCAGCTGCCTGGGGGGGTGACCAAAGACAATGACACTCAGGCCGCTGGACCCCAGGCAGGTATCACTGTCCCACCCCCACAACCAGAGGGGATGGGGCTTAACCCTTCCCTTCTGGTCACTCCTGCCAGCTCTGTTGCAGGAGATCCTGAGCCAGCTTTATAGAGTCAGCCCTCCTGGCCTCTGACCCCCCTCCCCTTCTTCCCTCTCTCTCCCTCCTGGCCTCTGCCCCTCACTGCTGCTCCTTGTCAGTGTCAGAAAAGTTCTGGTGGAAACCGTGCCAGAGGCAGGGCCCGCTTCCCTCCAGATGCGCCCCCAGGTGCCGGCAGCCACCCTCACCTCATGGGATCCTAATGAAAGGACTCAGTGTCCCGGCCCAGGTGGGCGTGCCAAACCCCCTCTACCACCCACCGGGCAGGCTGGCTCTGGGGGCCCACAGGAAATGGAGGCGTGGAGCCATGGCCCTGGGCCTCCCCCAGCTGCTGCTTAAAAGGGAGGCTGGCCGGGCTGCAGGGAGCCCACACCATGATGCCCTGGACGTCCCTGCTCCTGCTGCTGCTGGCCGGGCTCCCTGCTGCACGGCCCGCTCCCCCGACCTGCTACTCCAGGATGCTGACCCTGAGCAGGGAGATCACCAGTGAGTTCCAGGGGCTGCAGGCCGCAGAGCCAGGGGTGAGTGCCCCCACACCCACCCCCGCCCCGGAGCCAGGCCAGGAGGCTCCGTGAAGACGCACCTCCCAAACACGCGGCTTTGATGAAAAAGAAAGGGTGGGGAGAAGGAAAGAAGGAAAAGAGGGAGAAAAAGAAAAATCGAGAAGACTGCCATTCTTTTCTAGTAAAAGATAATCTCAAGGGCTTTTGTATATTTCCCTCCTACTAAATATGCCAATGATTCGCCTTTTTAAAGATATAAGGAAAAGTAACCAAAGACCTCACAAGTTTTGTTTGAACTTATTAGCAAACATCAGAGACGCTGCAGTAAAATGTACCGAAAGAAAAGATCAGCTCCCCTCGGAGTCTAGGACTTCAGAGTCACCTCATAGCCCAGTGACCCCCTTACCTCCTGGGCAGATCACTCTGCCTGCTGTCTCGGTTTCCTGCCTGTAGAATAGATGACAACAGCTTGCCCACCCCTCCCGCCCCAGGCCCACAGAGGGTCAAAGGAGTGAGCAAGGGTGGCTCAGGGGGGTCAAGAGGACACCCAGGAATTCGGAGTCGGGTGTCCAGAGGGGTGGCTGAGTCGAGCATCTGACAGAGAAAAGCGATGAATTCAGCTTCATTAAGAGCTTCAGCACAATTGAGCAGCGTCTCTTGACTGCTTGTAAATGCTTCAAAAAGAACCTAATGATTCTCAGATGTTGGGGTTTACAGGACTCTAACACCCTCTCTGTGTTTTCTTTTTTAAAGCCAAATAACATGTATTTATGTCTTATTATAAAAGTAACATACTTTGTAGAACAGTCGGAAAATGCACACAAAGAGGAAAATAGGCATGGCTGTAATCTGTCACCCAGAGGCGACTGCTCCCACTACATTCCAAAGGCTGGCGTTTCTGCCTCCTGTCTGTGCCAAGGTACCCAAGCGCCAGGCTGCAACAAAATTGGGATCAAATGGCACAAGCTGTTTTGCAACTTGCTTATTAACGACATTGTGGAGTAAGTTAATACCCTTTGGTACAAAAGAACTTGGCTGGGTAGGTGCACCACGATCCCTTCCTTGGAAGAGACAGAGCAATCGTCTTTTAAAAGAATCCGATTTTAAAAGGTATAAAAAAAAAAAAAAGAAAAAAGAAAAACCCATAGGCTCAGAATGTTAGAACTAGAAAGAAGTGGAAAGATTATACATTCCAGCTCTTTCATTTCCCAACTGAGAAACTAGGTCACAGAGGAAGATATGCGCCCGAGGTCACGCAGGCGGGCTGGAATTGAGGGCTTCATCCCTGAACCGATCCAGGAGTAAGATGTAGCAATAGGAAAGTACTATGCGGGTGCTGCAGAGGGTTACACAGGACCCATTTTACTCTATGTAATTAATTTATAGTAATACGTATTTATGTATATGTTTGTATATTTTATACTTGTTATATATCACATGTATCTATATAGTGGTGTAGAACTATCATATAACTAAACAGCTATAAAATTGTTTTATTATGTATACATACATGGTGGTTATTAAATGTTACTCTGTGTTTGCGTGTGCATCAAATGGTGCCTTGATTCAGAGTGAATATGTTCATGCTGTGTTCTAAAAGGCAAAATCTGGGAGACCAGTTGTCCGCTTGGGGTGCATGGACTTGTAAGACTAGCAAGTTATTCAGGTGTCATAGCACCAAGAAAGACCCCAGGATCTGGGCTGGGCTGGCCAGAGCCTCTGTGGCCAGGCTGAGCCTGTGTCCTTTCTGCAGGAGCCCTGTGTGAGGTACCTGCCCGGGCTGCACCTGGATATCCACGTAAGTGGGCTCTGCCTGGTGGGGGCAGTCTGCATCCTTTGCTGCTGAACATCCAGCATGGGGTGGGAGAGGCCCCATGGGGTGGGAGAGGTACAGGAGGACACCGGCGCTCCTTAGCTCCTGTCCCCCTGGCTGCCGACTTCTCCCATGAACCCTCCCCTCTTGCCCACTCCCAGAATTACTGTGTGCTGGCCAAGCTGCGGGACTTCGTGGCCTCACCCCACTGTTGGAAAATGGCCCAGGTGGACGCCCTGAAGGACAAAGTGCGGAAGCTGTACACCATCATGAACTCGTTCTGCAGGAGGGTAGGTGGACGCCATTGACCACCCCTGTTCGCCTGCCGTCAGCAGAGATGTTCTGAGCTTCGCCAGGACGAGAGCTGGGAGGAGGGGGCTTGAGGAGGAGCAGGGGGCTTAGGAGGAGCTCACATCCACAAAGCCCTTGTGCAGCACCATCTCCTCGCTGAGTGACGGGGATTCATGAGACAGCTACATGGGGCGCCATTCCCCGGTCCCCTGAGACAGACGGCCACGAGCCAAGCAGGGCCTGTGGGAGGAGCTTTCTGGAGGAGTAGGGTCCCCAGGAGTGCTCTGGGGGGGAGGGAGCTCTGGTAGGAGGGGGAAGGGGAGAGCCACAGGATCCCAGGGCGAAGGCTGCAGCCCCAGGTGGCCCTGAACTGTGGCTTCATCTTCCCCTACCCAATGCAAACATGTCAACTGGGGACACTCTAGTCCTCACCTCATGACATCATGGAAAGGTAAGAATCACACCCTCCCATGCACCAGAACCATCCTGACCCCCTTGGTCCCAAGACACCCAACAGAGCGGCCACATCTGGGCTCTCCAGCCCCTGCCTGGCCAGAGTGAGCCCCAGAGAAACCCCAGCCACTGGCTATCAGTTGACATTTCTTTGTGTAGCAAAGATTTGTCACCCATTTCCCCATGTCCCCATCCTCCTCGTCCCCCTCTCCCCAAGATGGCAGAAGCAGGTGCAGTGACTGTCTAGCAGGTGAGCTGAGAGCCACCCTGTCCCACACACGACCCCAGTGCTGGGCCCCAGGTGTGGCCAAGAAGCAGGGTGAGCTCGTCCCTTGCTCTGTCACCCGTCCAACCCACGTGACATGGCAGTAGGACAGCAGATCCTGTAGGGATGTGGGAAAGCAGGGACCGGCTCTCCTGGGAGGAGGGAGTGGAGGTTTCCCTCCGGGAACACTTGTGTGACCTTCGAGGACAGGATGACCGAGAGCCTGGAGCTGCGCCTGGCTCCAGGGCCCCCTCATTGCGCGTCTTTTGCAGGACCTGGTTTTCCTCTCTGATGACTGCAGCGCCTTGGAGCACCCAATCCCGGTGACCACGGGCCCTCCTGAGGGCCAGAGCTAAGGCGGCCAGACTGGAGAAAGAACCCAGAGGCCTGAGGCTGTGCGTCTGCCCAGATGGAGGCGGAAGCCACAGCCCCACAGGCCTCCCGCCGTGGGCCTCAGCCCCCTGTGGAAGGCAGCGCTGCTGCTCGGGGGCCTGCCTTGAGCTCTGCTGTGCCTTGGTGGTCAGATGCACCAGGAAGAGGGCTCACGGCCTCTCCTGCAGGGCCAGGAACTTGAGCCCACACAGAGCGGTGGTCCTGACCATGGCGAGAGCGGGGCACACAGGCACCCGCCTCTTCCTTGTTGGGAACCTGCCGACCCCTGACCAAGCTTCTGTTTTATGCCTTCCCTCATCACAAGCTCCCGGGCCCTTCTTTCGTTTTTAAATAAATGTTACTGCTTTTAAGATGTATTTGTGAGGCTTTTACGTAGCGCTGCAAAAACACTCTTCCCCTGAAAGCTGATGAAAATCAAATAAAAACATCTTTACTGCGAAACTCGTGTTCTCTGCGACTTGCTGAAATCTCCTGCTCTCCACAGGAGAGCGTCTCCCCCCCTCTGTCCATCAGGAGCAGGAGTCGGGGTCAGCTGCACTGGACTGCATGAATGTCCACTCCCACGGCATTGGGAGATGTGCCAATTTATGCTGGAGGTGGGAGGTCCCTTGGGGTGCAGATGGTGGGGACAGATTACATTGCCCCCACAGGCAGAGGCCCCACGCTGCCTGTGGGGGCAATGTAATCTGTCCTTCTTTCAGTTCTTTGGCTTCAATGACAAACGTGGAGACAGGCATCTCACGGGGCTGAAGCTCAGGTAGGTGAAGTGGCCTGAGCTGCCCAAGGTCAGGGCTAGTGAGTGGGGAGCAAAGCCCCCGCCTCTTCCAGCAGCCCCGGAGGACTGTGCTTGTTTAATAATTTATAAACCCAACAATGAAATCTCAGCTAAGTAGCTGGATTGTGGAAAATGTCTCCAATGTTGACTTTGTGGAATTCCACATTATATTGGGTCTTCTCATTTCTTTGACTTCCTGCTGTGCGTATGGAGGGGCCCGGCTCTTCCTCCTTGATCTTAGATGCCTTGGGATTCTCAGAGGATTCATGAGATGGAGCCACTAGGCTTTTATTTTCTATTTGGAAGCACAGGCCCACAGGACCGCTATCCTAGCCTCCTAGGACTTCCCCCTGCATGGCACCAGGAACTGGGTGGCTTGAAATAAGAGGAAAGTGTCATGTTGCGGTTCTGGAGGCTGAAAGTTCTGGATGGAGGTGCCAGCAGGCCAGGAGCTCTGGAAGCTTCAGGAAGGGTCCCACCTTGCATCTTCTAGCCTCTGGTGGCAATCCTTGGCATTCCTGGATGTCAGATGCATCACATCAACCTCCCTGTGTATGTATGTCTGTGTCCATCTTCTCATAGGGATGCTGATTATGGGGTCAGGACCCACCTCATCCAGTATGACATTGTGTGTGTGTGTGTGTGTGTGTGTGTGTGTGTGTGTGCTGGGAAAAACCTGAGGCCCTGTGCACGTGAGGCAGGTGCTCGTCCACTGAGCTACACCCCAGCCCTTGACCTTGTCTTCATCTGATAACATCTGCATAGTACTCATGTCCAGTTAAGGTCACAATCACAGGTACAAGGGGTTAGGGCTTCCACATATATTTCTGGGACACTCAATTCAACCCACAAAATAGAAGAACTGGCCCTTTCACATGGGAAAGTACTGCAGTGGTCCGGGTCTTGTCCATGAGCCCCTGAACCATGGGGCACTGCCTGGCCCAGGAGTGGCTCCCGCCAGCCCACTGCCTCTTCACCACGACGCTGCAGGATGGGCGTCCTCAGCCCCCATTGATAGTGGAGGAAACATCCTCAAGTTCAAAGGTGGAGTGATTTCCCAGACAGCTAACGGGCAGTGGCAGAGGGACTGCCGTTGTAAGGAGTGGAGGACGCCATTGAAGCCGGGCCCCGTGGGAGCATTTCAGACACCTCACTTCTTCCATCTTTACTAAGAGCGCATTACCAATTCAGCAAATTTTGAGATGAAAGGTGAAGAGTTCCTCTCGGAGTTCCCCAAGGAGACCTTTGCAGAATCTGGGAGATGCCAGAGGAAGGAGCAAACAACTCTGAGATGGGGCAGGAAGTTTTCTTAGAGGATTTGGAATTTGAACAAGGACTTGCAGAAGGACCGGGGACTTGCTGGGCTGGAAGCGGTGGAGGCAGAAGACACGTCAGAGCCAAATGCCGGCGTGTGGCCGGGAGCCAGGTGAGGAGCGACCACGTGCGGGGGTCAGAGGGCCAACACATGACTGTGGGAAGTCCTGCGCCAGGTGTGCCCAGGAAAATCCTTTTCCACAGAGCAATCGGGATGACGGTCCCCCTTGGGGCTGACAGTTCCTGGAGGGGCCCCTATCCCAGGCCTGGTGTCTGAGCAGGGCCCTGGTCTCTTCCTTGGTCTTTCTGCATTGCCAACTGGTCGACCCTGACTTCTCTAGGTCTCCTGACTTCTCCGTCGGCACTTTAACAGTTGGTCAGAACCTTCTCAGAACTCACATGTCACCCGGCCGTGCTCAGGATCCAACCATCCCGAGTGAGGGTCTGCCTATCACAGGTCCTTCCGCCCAGGGCTCCCCGTTGGAAGGGGACTATTTTCTTCCGGGGGCTTCTTGGCAGCTGGAGCCTAGCTCGTTCTCCAGCACCTTCAATGCACCTGGAGAGGCCAGCGGGGGCTCAGGGGCCGTGAGGGACTGGTTCTGGGGAAAGACCTCAGCCCAGCCCTGCTGCTGTTAGCTGTTTAGGTGGACGGCTCACTTAGACGCCCTGTGCCTCAGTCCCCTCTTCTGTAACATGGGGGTGGCGATAAGACAGGTTTGTGGGTTGATTTGGGGAATGACAAGAGTTGGTACGATCCAGATACCAGGAGCGCGGTGCCCATATCGAGTCCCCACCACCTGCAGTTGGCATCAGCACAGACGTTGCTCTAGAGTCAAGTCCAGGCCACTGCTGTCCATCAGGCACCTACAGGCCAAAGCCCATGCGCCCCACCTTTTCTAGGCAAGATCACAGGTGAAGGTGAGCCCTGCTCCTGGCCCGGAGCCTGTGGAATTCCTCCGCCTCTCAGTGTGGCCTGAGACCTGGAAGACCTCAGCTGGAAGAACGAGTCCTTCCTGGACGGCGTTTCTCCTGGACGCACGCCACTCCTGTGTGGTGACCACCATCAAGGACAGACTCGCTCCAGCGGGCCTCCCTCCATGTGCTTTCCTCACCCAGCACCCGAGGCCTGTGGTGGGGGGCTCATCTCACAGAGGGAGCTCATGGTGGAACCAAGTTGCTCACCTCGTGGCCAGAAAGAAAAGAGAGAGGGCTGGGGAGGGAGGAGGAGACTGTGGCCCACAATCTCTTTCCAGATCATGCCCCAGTAACCTAAAGCCTCTCACTAGCCCCCCTTTTTACAGGTCCCACCACCTTCCAGGTGGAGGGCCAACCTTTCGCACAGGGCTTTGGGGGTCACGAGAGCTTCAGCAACACCCGAGCCTCCTCTGAGCCACGGCACCCACCGCCCCTGGCTCTACCCTCCTCTGGTGGCTTTGTCTCCTCCTTTGCCAGTCCCCCCTCCCTCACCCCGTGTCTAAATGACCGTGTGCCTGTGCTCTGTCCTGGGCCAGTGCCCCCTCCTCTGTGCCCACCCCTGGGGGTCCTCGTCTGCCTCTGCTGCCCTCACATGTGGTCACGACTCTGTGCCCCCTGCTCAGACGCTCCACGAGGTGGACACTCGTGTTCCAACCACCCCGCGCGGGCTCCGGGAGGGCTCACAGATAGGCACACACCACCTGTCTGTCGACGGTCGGTTCTCCTGGCTTGAGGGTCTTCCCTGTCCTGGTGAAGTGGCCCTCCGTACCCCTGGCTTCTCCCAGGCTTGTGCCCACTTCTCTTTCTCCACCGCCCACCTTCACAGTGACCAGCAGGTCTAATTCTCTATGCTGTAAAACGGGCATGCGAGGTGGACTTTATGTGTCAACTTGACGGGCCTGTGTCCCCAGAAATCTAGTTAAAGGTCATCTCTGGGTGGGGCGGTGGGGCGGGGGCTCTGGGTGACAGCAGCACTTCAGTTGGTGAGGTGAATAAGCCCGTCCTGCCCCGTGTGTGGGTCCAGAACAATCCCCTGGGGAGCTGAAGAGAACAAAAAGAAGAGACGGGAGAATGTGTGCTTGAGCTGGGACACGTGGCCTCTCCTGCCTTTGGACTGGGGCTTCCACAATCGGCTCTCCTCACTCTCGGGCTGTTGGCTTGGACGAGGGCTTCCGCCACCTGGTCTTCAGGCCTTCGGATCCTTCTAGAGCTATGCCACCCGCTCTCCTGGGCTCCAGCTCACAGGTGGAGACTGGACCTTCCCAGCCTTTGTGATCACACGGGCCGACTCCTTACAGTAAAGTACACACACTCACACTCACACACTCACACTCACACTCACACTCACTCACACACACACTCACACACTCACACTCACACACACTCACACACACACTCACACACTCACACTCACACTCACACACTCACACACTCACACTCACTCACACACTCACACTCACACACACTCACACTCACACACACTCACAATTGGTTCATACATTGAGCCTCTGCTTTTTCCTCTCTACCCACTGCTGGCACATGAATCAAGGTCACCATGACCTTTGCCTGGACCAGGGCCATCACCTCCTCACCAGGCTCCAAGTTTTCATCCCCCCTCATCTAATTCCACGCAGCACCCACATGATCTGTTTAAACGTTGGGCACCCATTAGACCACGCCCCTCCCCTGCTGACGGCTTCCCACTTGAACACAAATGGAGCTTCTCCCCTGGGCCTACAGAGGCCCCACCACCTCTGCTGTCCACCGGCCTCCTGCAGCACCCGTGCTGGGTCCCACGTCTGTCTGCCTCCTCCTCACTTGTTTGGTCTCCCCCACTAGACCCCCCATTTCATCCCCTGCACCTAGATTGGTGCCTGACTCAGGGACGCTGGTAAATACACTTGGGACATTTATGGATTCCACTTACTGCAAGGACCAAGAAAAGTCACCAGTTAAGATCCTGCAGTGTCCTGGTGGCCCAGGCCCCTTCTCTCCTCACGAAAGACAAGTGATTTGCACACAAGGAGAGACGCACACCCTCAGAAGGGTAGCCATGTGTTTTCAGAAACTGCTGGTTCTCATGGGTTTGGTCATCTTTGACATCACACACACACACACACACACACACACACACACACACACGCACGCACCACCCCCTGTGGGGCCCATTCTCACGGTGCTCTGAGCTCCATAAGACAGGCTGTCTGGACCATCGCCAGGAGCAGGGGCCCTGAACGAAGCCTGTCTTCCTTCCTGCCTACATCTCAGGGCTTGATCAGCAGCCCTGGCTGTCTCCGAGTGCTTGGCTGAAATCAGCAGTGCACCCTCACGCCCAGGGGCAATGGCAGCCAACTGAGAATTATCAGGCAAAAATCCC